AAAAAAAAGAAAACGACTATTATGAAGTTCCCAATGAAGTAATGTATTCTAAATAATAATCAGTGAATGCTAAATAATAATCAGAGAATGCTAAAATCATTAAGTGATTTTAGAGAAACTTGGTAATATTTAAGCTCAGGCTGACAAACTCCCAAACACACCCATCAAGCATAACATCTTTTATGGGACAGATATTAGGGCCCTCCTGATGTGACAGAACAGGAAGCAGATAGAATGACCAATGCCAAAATTTTAAAAACTCCAAACCCCAAATTGATCAAGAATCTCATCAAATTGCTAATCTAAATGCCAGTTTTCAGGCATTATGGGGGACAGAGGAAAGTGTTAACTAAAAGAGAGTCAGTGAGATTCCAAATGTGGGTAACTCTCCAGGACAAATGACCCAGTGTTTCTTCCACACATGAATGGCCTTAAAAAACTAAAGATAGGGATGAGAGTATAGTGGTACAGAGTATGCTTAGCATATGCAAGGCCCTGGGTTCAATCTTCAGCACCAAAGAAATAAAAAGTAGAAAAGACGGAGAAAAAGGAAGAGGAAAACAGAAGAGAAAGAAGGAAGGAAGAGGAGGAAGAGAAAAGTAGGAAGAAAGGAAATGTTGGTCACTACAGAGACTTTTTTTTTTTTTTTTTGGTGGTAGACACTTTATATGACCAAGATGGCCCCAACTGGAAGAGAATTGCTTGTGCTTTTCTAAAAAAATGAACATTCAAATAAAAAGTATAATGATGCAAAACTACAGAGACTTTAAGGGCCATATCCGAATGCAAAGTGTGGACCTTGGGTAGATATTGATTTGAACAAAGAGAAAAAAAGACATTTTTAAGACAAATGGGAAAAACTTAAGATGGTTTAGTCAACAGATGATATTAAGGATACTGTTAGTTCTGTTGAATATAATAATCTTATGGCTGTTTCTAAAAGTCCATATCTGATACAGACAACTATGAAGTATTTATGAGTGAAATGATACATTGTCTTACATTTGCTCTAAAACACTTCAGAAGAAAACATGTTTGGATGGGGGGAATAAAACAAAAATGGCAAGAAGTTAATGACTGTTAAAGGTGAGTGACTGTTATTATTCCATTTTTCGTATTTGAAATTTTTGTGTATTTGAAATGTTGAAAATTGAAATGTTGTGTTTTTAAAAATCCCCAAGAATTTGGGTTGGGGTTCTAGCTCAGTGGTAGAGTGTTTGGCACCAAGCTCTGGGTTTCATCTGTAGCACCATACACATAAAAAACTATTCCCAAGAATTCATGCTCACATGTCCAAGTAACAGGAATTACAAAGAGGCAGAGGCAGTTTGGATGAAGAGATATTTGAGCCTTTCTCCTTAAAGCAAGCTGCCAACTTCCTACCTTGGAGACATAAAGGAACTCTCATTCTAACAGAAAGGCTGCCTCCCGCGACACCTGCACTCCAGTGCTCATGGAGTGTCCAGATCCTACCCGTGTAGCCGTAAGAAAAGGAAACGCACACTTCTGGTACTGCTGTCGAAATTCTCACAGCTGATGGGCAACAGTGTGCTCAGCTCCAGATCCGTGACCATCTGCCGAGATTCTGCCAGCAATCGCTGAAGCTTACTTGTGGGTGAGAAGTCTTCCTAGAAGGATTAATAGTTTGAGCATTCATAAAATTGAGAAATATTTTTAAGTGTTTATATTTACAAGCACAACTTTTAGTCACAAGTTGTAGCTACCTGTTAATATTTGATTAGATATTGCAAAGTAAGACATCAATATTGATCAAATTCCTTTTATTTCTTAGAACCTACTCTGTTAAATAATGTGATTTTAACAGAATTTTGCTACAATTTACTTTCCTAAATAAATTTTTGAAGGCATAATTAGCAGATCCAAATATCTGCATATGGGACTTCAATACTAAGGGCCTATAAGCTTTTAGAACATAAAGCTGTGCTTTCATTTATTCTTGTTACTTTTCAACTTTGGGAGCTGGGGAGCTGACTTGGTGGTAGACACTGGCCTAGCATACACGAGATTCTAGGTTCCATCCTCAACACCACAAAAATAATGATAAAATAAATAAAAACAAACGAAATAGCATCATGTAATATTTATGTATGTACTTTTTTTTAACATTTATTTTTTAGCTGTAGGTGGACACAATACCTTCATTTTTATTTTTATGTGGTGCTGAGGATCGAACCCAGTGCCTCATGCATTCTAGGCAAGCACTTTTCCTCTGAGCCACAACCCCAGCCCCTATGTATGTACTTTTATGTAGCAAAAGAATAAAAACAATGTGAAATCAACTTCATAATGGTGGTTAACTGGGAGGGCCTGGAGAAAATAGCAGGTGGGATTCCTACTTTATTACCTCAAAAAGAAAAATAGAGCAAATATCCTAAAATGTAAACATCTGATAAACCCTAATGTAGGTGCACAGTTGCTTCTTCTTCTTCCTCTATTACCTGGTACCGGGGATTGAACCCAGGAGGCTTTATCATTGAGTTACAACACCAGTATCCTCTTCTTTCTTTTTTAAATTTTGAGATAGGGCTTCACTAAATTGCTTAGGCCTAGCTAAGATGCTGAGGCTGGCCTTAACTTGCAATCTTTCTGCCTCAGCCTCCTAAATCACTGGGATTACAGGTATGCACCACTGTGCCCAGTTATAGCCTTCATTTTTCTAATGCTTAAAATATTTATTTGCTAGGTATAGTAGCAAACACCTATAATCCCAGGGGTTTTGGAAGCTGAGGCAGCAGAATCCCAAGTTCAAAGCCTCAGCAACTTAGTGAGACTCTGTCTCAAAATAAAAAAATAAATAGGGTTGGGGATGTGGCTCAGTGGTTAAGCATCCCTGGATTACATCTCCAGCATATACATATACACATACACATACACATTCTCACACACACACACACACACACACACACACTCTCTCTCTCTCTTTCTCTCTCTCACATTGGAAAAGGCTATTTCCAAGGATCCTTAGGGCAACCATACAAACAAAAGGTTTCATACTGCCATATGCAGTGGCTCACACTTGTAATCCCAGCAGCTCAGGAGGCTGAGACAGGAAGATCGGAAGTTCAAAGCCAGCCTCAGCAATGGCGAGGAGCTACACAACAACTCAGTGAGACCCTGTCTCTAAATAAAATACAAAATAGAGCTGGGGATGTGGCTCAGTGGGTAAGTGCCCCTGAGTGCAATCCTTGGTACAAAAATAAAAATAAAATTAAGGCTTCATATCCTTCAAGGGGGCTGCTGTTTGTGGCTACTGTACAAAATATTTACTAATTAAAAATAAAAGCAAGAGGAGCTCAGTGGTAGAGTGCGCATGCGGCACTGGGTTCGATCCTCAGTACCACATAAAAATAAATAAAGATACTGTGTCCATCTACAACTAAAATAAATAAATAAATAAAAATAAAAGCAGGAGTGTGGTAGGACACACCAATAATCCCAGCTATTCGCGAGGCAGATGCAGAAAGATTAGTTTTTTGGTTCTGGGGACTGAACCCAGGGACACTTTACCACTGAGCCACATCCCCAGTCCTTTTTATTTTTTATTTTGAGACAAGGTCTTACTAAGTTGCTGAAGATCTCACTGAGTTACTGAAGCTGGCCTCAAACTTGCCATGTGGCCAGCCCAGGCAACATAGACTCTATTTCAAACATAAAAACTAAAGCCAGGAGTGGTGGCACACACCTGTAATCCCAGCAACACGAGAGGCTAAGGCAGAAGGATAACAAGTTCGAGGCCTCAGCAACTTAGCATGACTCTCAGCAACTTATCAAGACCCTGTCTCAAAATTTAAAAAATAGCTGGGTGCAATGGCACATGCCTGTAATCCCAGTGGCTCAGGAGGCTGAGGTAGGAGGATCTCAAGTTCAAAGCTAACCTCAGCAACTTAGTGAGGCCCTAAGCAACTCAGTGAGACTCTGTCTCTAAAGAAAATTTAAAAATGGCTGAGGATGTGGCTCAATGGTTAAGTGCCCCTGAGTTCAATCCTCAATCCTAAATAACTAAGTAAATAATACAAAGGACTGGGGATGTAACTTAGTGGTAAAGGGCCCCTGATTCAATCCACAGTACCAGAAAAAATTAAAATAATTAAATTAATTAATTAAAAGGTGCTGGGGCTGGGCTGGGTAGCACTCGCCTGTATTTCCAGCAGCTCAGGAGGCTAAAACAGGAGAATTACAAGTTTAAAGCCAGACTCAGCAATGGTGAGGCATTAAGTAACTCAGACCCTATCTCTAAATAAAATACAAATAGGGCTGGGGATGTGGCTCAGTGGGCGAGTACCCATGAATTCAGTCCCCAGTACCCACTCCACTCCCCCGACTCCAAAAAAAAGTGCTGGGGATGTGGCTCTATGGTAGAGTGCTTTCCTAGCATGCATAAAGCCTTGGGTTCAATCCCCAGTTCTGTGCAAACAAAACAACAACAACAACAACAACAAAATTAAGCTGGGCATGGAGGCACACACCTGTAATTTAAGGGACTCAGAAGGCTGAGGCATGAGGATCGTGAGTTTGAGGTCATTCTGGGAAACTTAATATGACCTGGCCTCTTAAAAAAAAGAAAAAAAATGGCTAGGGATGGGCATCTCAGTGGTAGAGTATCCCAGGGTTCAATCCCCACTATCACACACACACACACACACACACAAAAAAAATGGACATACATACATATTTATATATCAAACACCTAAAAGACCCAAGGGGCACTTTGCCTAAAGCCAACTGATGTTTAAAGAAAAAAGTGGGTAATTTGGACTTCGATTAATCACATAATCCAGACAAAACACTGACTTGTAGGCTCCAGCTTTGTATAAAACCATTAATTTAAAAATAATTGAGCCTGTGGACTGGGGTTGTAGCTCAGTAGAGTAGACTGGTAGAGTGCTTGCCTTGCATGCGTGAGGCCCTGAGTTCAGTCCCCAGCACCCCACATAAAAATAAACAAATAAAAATAAAGATATTTTTTTAAAAAAGAATCTTCTTTAAAAAAATAATAATATTAATTGACCCTATAATCCCAATGACTCTGCAGTTCGAGGCAGGAGAATCGCAAGTGTGAGGCCAGCCTCAGCAGCCTAGTGAGACCCTGTCTCAAAATAAAAAATTAAAAATGGTCTGGGAATGTAACTCAGCAATATAGTGCCCCTTGGCTCTAACCCTAGTAACACACACACACACACACACACACACACACACACCCCTGAAAAAACTGAGATAAAACAATATGTCTTGGGTGGGCTTGAAAAACTGCATTTCTGGCAAGTTCTCAGGTGATGATGCTTCTAGTCTGAAGAACATATTTTTTATTTTTTAAATGTTTTTTTTTTTAGTTGTAGATGGACACAATACCTTTGTTTATTTATTAATGTGGTGCTGAGGATCAAACCCAATGCCTCACACATGCCAGGCGAGTGCTCTACCACTGAGCTACAACCCAGCCCCCTGAAGAACATATTTTAAACAAAAACTCCTACTCTCAGGCTGGGATTGTGGCTCAGCGGTAGAGCACTCGCCTAGCACGTGCGAGGCCCCGGGTTCGATCCTCAGCACCACATAAAAATAAATAAAATAAAGATATCGTATCCAACTATAACTAAAAAATAAATATTAAAAAAAAAAACTCCTACTCTCAACAACTCCATCTTCCTTTTTTTTTCTCTTCCTCCAGGCTCTGTAGGTAAAGAATCATAATATGGAAATAAAACTTTTGCAAAATTAAATTTACTGACTCAAAGCTTATTTTTCCTATTCATTATCTGAAATCAGATGGTAAACCAAATTTAATTATCTTTTTTTAAAAATATTTATTTTTTAGCTATAGTTGGACACAATATCTTTATTTATTTATTTTTATGTGGTGCTGAGGATCGAACCCAGGGCCTCACACACACTAGGTGAGTGCTCTACCAGTGAGCCACAATCCCAGCCCTTAATTATCTTTTTTAAAAAGGAGAAAGACCTTTTACTTAAATAGCTTCTAACTAAGAAAAAATATCTATCCCTGCTATAGTTTCTGAATCTTTTCAGTACAGCTGCTGGAAGACAACATACACACAACCAGAGTGCCCCTGAGTCCAATTCCTAGTTCTGCCCCCCAAAAATAAATAATAAATAAAAAGAACCTTAAAGTTCTATAACTTGAAAAACTGAGGAATGGTCAAAATTATGTGAGAGTAATACAGAAAAACTGAAGCATGTTGGATAGAAATGTTGCTTGAACAAACTAGGAGTTGATAAACAAAACAAACCTTTTTGCTGGACAAAGCTGCTTCTTTGTTGATTAACAAACCCTTGGATAAATTATTTTTATCAGGAGGGGCCTCTGTCTCATCCTCTCTTAGGGCAGACTTTGAAGAACTCAAACAGTGGGAATGTTGGATGGCAATTAGCTCACTGTGAATAATAAGATCAAACATAAACAGATTATCTTAAAGCAATACCCTACATGTATCATACAGTATCATACTTAAAAGTATCTCAAGAAGACAAAACATGTTGTTTTTTTTAGAGAGAGAGAGAGAAAGAGAAAATTTTTTTTTAGTTTTCGGTGGACACAACATCTTTATTTTATTTTTATGTGGTGCTGAGGATCGAACCCTGTGCCCTGTGCATGCCAGGTGAGCACATTACCGCTTGAGCCACATCCCCAGCCCAACATATTGTTTTTTAAATAAAGAAGCTCTAATTTGAGTATAATATTGGAAATTAATGCATCTTTTGCAAATAAGAATTAAAACAATATTTGTAGTTAAGGGTAACTACAGAATAGGAAATTTCCCTCCTCAAAAAAAAAAAAAAACCCACAAAGAGGGTGTGGTGGGGGGCAGGGGCTTAAGCATGCTATAGGCACTGAATTCACTCTGCTAACACTAAAGGAAGGAAGGTAGATTAGTTCTAGGGACAGGATTATCCAAAAGGGAAGGGGAAAATTAATGCAGAGTAAGGTTAAACTTGTGAAAATGTTAGGTTTTTGGTTTTCGAGGCCAAGTTTGTCAATAGTTGTATGGAGCCTTTTGTGAAAGTGAAACGGTGCCACAGTGGCTGATTCTCCTACAGTTGGTGGGTTTTAGGGAACATGGAAGAGCAGGTGCCTGTGGCTTCTCTCTCCACAGGCAAACCTCTATTTGTCAAATGGAATGGGGGCACAAATGCGAATATTTTACTTAGATAATAGAGTGGACATACAAGTTCTTGTAATCTATGGAAAAATAGGAAAACATAATTATCTTTCCTACTTAGTCACGTATCTGTCATGTGATGCCTTGGCATGTGCCTCCACTGGCAGAACAAGCAGTTACCTCAATTATTTTAAGTCAGTCAGGTCAAAGGGCCTTAGAAGGAAAGGTGATTTTGAATTTGTTTTATACATTAAGTTTAACATATAAATTATATATAATTTGCTCCTCTATGCTCTCAAAACTATCCAACACAAGCTTTTCGTCCCTTAATATG